AAAAAAAAAAAAAAAAAAAAAAAAAAAAGGAGAGGGAAGAAGGTTGTTGTCTGTCTTCTTCATCATTGAATTGATGCGTCCGAAAAATTGGATTTAAGAGAGAGAGAGAAGAAAGAAAGAAAGAAAGAAAGGGGTGAAGAGTGAGAAAGAAGTGTCTGCAAAAGAGCTTTGACTATTCTCTCTCGAAATCCATATTCGTTTTCAAATTCTTTACCTTCTCGAAACCTTTCATTTCTGGCATTTAAGTCAAACCTCATCCTCTACTTCTTCCAAAAAAAAAAAACCTTCTAGGTTTTCCACGGGATTCCTTCTCAGCTCCTGAGAAAATCACCACGAGATTCCCAGGTGTGTTCTTCTTAATCAACAATTAGCTCAAATCTTCTCTTAATTTTTTTTATCAACAATTAACTCAAATATTCTCTTCTTTTTTTTTTTTTTTTTTTTTGCAAAGTTTATCGAAAACAACAAACTTGCTCTTTTTTCTTTATTCTATCGCTTTTTTGTGTATTTTTTTTCCTTTTCCGTTTCGCTTTTGGAATATTTGCACTTTATTCGTAATTTTGAATTCGTTTCTGTGGAAAATCATAGACTGTAAACCAAAAAACCGAAAAAAGAAATCTGAATCTTGGAGGAAACCTGGAATTGTTGGAATCTCTAAGTGAGGCCTCGCAAAATTTGTTGATTTCTTTTTATGAAATGATACGAATTTTCTAATTTTTATTTCTTTTCCACGCTCAGATTTGATTCCCGTCCAAATCTATTGATAGAAAGTAGGGAAATTTTGTAAAAAGATTTGAGGGTTTGCTTAATGGGAAATTGTTGTGCAACGCCGAGCACTCCTTCCCGGAACGACCGGAAGAACAAGAAGAAACCTAATCCCTTTGCGGGCGATTATGGTGTTGGTAATGAAAATGGAAGTGGGAACAAGCTCTGGGTCTTGAAAGACCCGACGGGTCGAGACATTTCGGAGCAGTACGATCTGGGTCGGGAGCTCGGGAGAGGCGAATTTGGGATCACGTATCTGTGCATGGATGTTTCCACGGGCGAAAAGTTTGCTTGCAAATCGATATCAAAGAAGAAGCTGAGGACTTCGGTGGATATCGATGATGTAAGGCGAGAAGTTGAGATTATGAAACACTTGCGAAATCACCAGAACATTGTGTCATTGAAGGACACATTCGAGGACGAAAGTGCAGTTCACATTGTTATGGAATTGTGTGAGGGAGGCGAGTTGTTTGATCGCATTGTCGCGAGAGGGCATTACACGGAAAGAGCGGCTGCAGCTGTTATGAAGACAATTGTTGAAGTTGTTCAGGTTCGATTTTGATGTGTTACCACTTGAAGTTTTTTCCTAGTTTGTTTAGGAATATTGTCGAACGGATAGTGAACTTGATCTAGTTACTTTAGTCTTGTTTGTTTACGGGCATTGTGATGTGCAGAATTGTCATGAACATGGAGTGATGCATCGTGATCTGAAACCTGAGAACTTTCTGTTTGCAAATAAGAAGGAAAATTCCCCATTAAAGGCAATTGATTTTGGGTTGTCGGTGTTCTTTAAACCCGGTACGGCAATTAATTTTATATACGAGCTTCATATCTTCATCATAACATTTGCTGATGTTGTGTAGAATGTAGCTAAAAAGTTTCTATATTTGTACAGGTGAACGATTTAATGAGATAGTGGGAAGTCCTTACTACATGGCTCCAGAGGTTCTGAAACGGAACTATGGTCCTGAGGTGGACGTTTGGAGTGCCGGAGTTGTCCTGTACATATTGCTTTGTGGTGTTCCTCCTTTTTGGGCAGGTTTGTATCCTTGATGCAATACTTTTATATTAGAGCGACTGACATTTAAAGTTGAAAACCTGCTGTGTAGCTGACTGTGTTGTGTGAAATCTGGGGTATCCAAACTATATTACTTGGATGCCTAGTCCTAGTCTTTTGGTGGATCATCATCCAGATGTCATGCGGTTATGTATTTCTAGAATGGAATTCTTCTTCAAGCTTTGTTATCAGGATTTCTTCTCATGGATTTGGCAATGTTTTCTTGTGTAGAAACTGAACAAGGGGTAGCACAGGCAATTATTCGCTCAGTCATTGATTTTAAGAGGGATCCATGGCCTAGAGTCTCTGATAATGCGAAAGATCTTGTTAAGAAAATGCTTGATCCAGATCCAAAACGGCGACTTACAGCTCAGGAAGTACTTGGTAATGTTCTGATCTGTGAATGTGATGCTTAATGCATGCATCAAGATTATTTCTTTAATAACAATTTCCCCAACTCGTTTTTGGCAGAGCATCCATGGTTACAAAATGCCAAAAAAGCTCCAAATGTCTCACTGGGCGAGACAGTGAGAGCAAGGCTCAAACAATTTTCTGTCATGAACAAGCTCAAAAAACGAGCTTTAGGGGTAATTATTTGTTCTTTTCCTTTAACCAATGTATAAGTTATTGTGTTTAGAATATAATGTGAATGTGAGGCATTTATGGAGGACCTGGAGGTCTAATAGTAAACCTAGGTTGTACGTAGGTCCTATCAACTGGACAATTTATTTCAAATGATGTGTGTATCTATTCTGTTATCTATAGGTCATAGCTGAACATTTGTCAGTTGAGGAAGTGGCTGGCATAAAGGAGGCATTTGACACGATAGACATCGGTAAGAAAGGCAAGGTAAATCTTGAGGAGCTTAGAATTGGCTTGCTCAAGCTTGGCCAGCAGATTCCTGACCCGGATCTTCAGATCCTAATGGATTCTGTAAGTATCAAATTGTCATCCACACTTACATATCCTCCATAGTCCATACGCAGCCCAATGAGCTTAAACTGCCATTTTTTGTAAAGCCATATAAAAGATTAATATAAAACTCTATTGTTTTATTGAAGTTGTACGGGATTTGGTATTCGATGGAGTTCCGTGGTTCATTCATTTGTTAAAATTTGTTTACCAACCCCCTCGTATAAACAGAGGGAGAGTATTATATTTTGCATTTTGGAACTGGACTATTTTTGTCGCTGGAAGACCTATAAATTTCTGAGGGGATGTTTGTTTTATGTATTCGTCCTTGATTTTGAATCATGAATCATGATTCTCTACAGTGTTTTTTTCTCACAAAAAACACATGTAAAACGAGAATGGTTCTGAATTCATGAACTAAACGTCTCTGGAGTCTTTTGGTCATTATTAATTTTCACAAATATATCCCTCTCCCGCAGGCTGATGTTGATGGAGATGGAACTCTAAACTATGGAGAGTTTGTTGCGGTTTCAGTTCATTTGAGAAGAATGGCTAATGATGAGCATCTTCATAAAGCTTTTGCATACTTTGATCAAAACCGTAGTGGTTACATAGAAATTGAAGAGCTACGGAATGCTTTAAATGATGAAGTTGACAGCAGTAGCGAGGAAGTCGTCAGTGCCATAATGCATGATGTGGACACAGATAAGGTTAGTGTTACGGTGTTCACGTAGACAAAGGTCATACTCATAACCCATGTTAGGTTGAAAGTAACTTCCCTGCGGAATAAGTTTTGTTAAGACCTTTCGTGCTGTATGAAGGCCATACTTTTTGGTTAGTTGCAATCACAGTTCACAATTCACACGTTCAAAGAGAAAACATCGAGTCTTTTAATGATTGTTTCTCATTGTATAAATGCTTTGATAATTGTAAGAGGAAACCTGATTTTTCTATGATTTTTCAGGATGGGAGAATAAGTTACGAGGAGTTTGCTGCTATGATGAAAGCTGGTACAGATTGGAGAAAAGCATCTCGTCAGTACTCGCGGGAAAGATTTAACAGCCTCAGCTTGAAGTTGATGAGGGACGGCTCTTTACAATTAACCAACGAGGGTAGATAAACCAACACTTGTCAGAAATCGAATGACGCTAAAAATCAGAAGAATTTCTTTATTTTTATTGGTTTTATGAAATTGTTGTATTATTATTATTATTTTTTTTTTTTCATTTCATTTCCTCTAATAGACCTTTGCAATAGGTAGAACTAGAGTTAAGCTGCCTTAGTAATCTCTCTGAAATATCCTTTATGTTTAGGATTTGTCTGTTTTGGGTCAGTTGCAGAAGAAAGAAAAGTGAAATGTTGGAGAGAAGACGGTGAGAGTGTTGTTTTCGACCTCAATTGTTTTTGTGGGTTGTAAATATTATCAATTGAAGGCCTAGTTGCCCTTTTGATTTCAAAATAATATTTCCATTTGATGCTTAGAATTCTGCATGTGCCGTTGAGGACAGCAGTCTCAACCGAAATATCTTGTTTGGACCGGAAACACAACATGACAGGTAAAAAGACGAGCTTCTCTTTTTCTTTTTGTTCGTTTATTTATTTTTTATTATAATAATTTCGAGTGCACAAGTGGTCCAAGAGAAATTCCACCGCAAACCTTGCAAGTTCAACTGGCTCATGATTAAGCTATGTTATTCAAATGGAAAAAAGGAGGTATACACTTTAAAAAGTGCATGAATTTAAACATCTTATTCTTAATTAATGTCTTTTATAATTATAATTATATTACTCTTAACTAATATCCGTGCTCCTATTTTTATCGAGTTTTTAACATAATTTCATATGCTAGTGCTAAGAAAAAAAAAAGTAAAAAATTTGATACCATCATGCGTACTAATATATTAATAAAAAGTATTTATTAATAAAATACCACTTTTGTGATTGTGCCATTTAATTCTACCACTTCCGTGAAAAAAATTTAAAACATATCACTTTTATGGTATGTTTATTTAATCGTATTAGATCTCTATATTATATAATAATACACTGATACAATATTTGGTGTGAATGTTGTATTGTATAAATTAATACGGATGGTAAATTAATACGTTTTATTTTTTATTATACAATACGACTTATTTTTGATGTATTGTATTGTATTATTTTGTAGCGGATCCATCATCCATATCGGGATTGAGCACAACCGGGCTTCAGGGTTGGAACGACGTAGGGTCATTGCCGAAACCTATAATTGTTTAAAAATTGGGGGGCACAATGCAAATTTATATTTTCTTAAAATTATTTTGACCCCAAAATTGTTTAAAAATTTACATTTTGTCTCCTAATACAATACGCCATGACACCAAACACCATATTCTATAATGAGAATACAAAACAATACAATACACCTTATACAATAAAATACAATGCAAGCTACCAACGTGACATCAATCAATAAAAAGACAATTTAACACTGGACAATTAGATTTGATTGATCATTAATTAATTGGAATTAATTGGTGATTAACTGAAGGGTTAGAAATTTATATATACATGAAGGTTAATATATACTTTATACCATTTGAAAGTGATGCTGTTAGGATCCTGGTTGAGTCTCACATTGTTAAAGTATGGGCTTAGCATGTGGGTTTATAACTATTTGGGCACCATCTCCCTATAAGCTAGCTTTTGGGGATGAGTTCTACTAAAGGGTTACAACAATTGGTATCAGAGCATGCTCCTCCTCAGGCCCACGTTGCGGAAGGGGCGACCTGGAAAGGCCATAGTAGGCCATCCAGAGTGGGCCATCCAAAGTGGGCCGCCGTAGACGTCGTTGTCAGAAGCGTAGTGGTATGTTAGGATCCTGATTGAGCCCCACATTGCTAAAGTATGGGCTTAGCATGTGGGTTTATAACTATTTGGGCACCCTCTCCCTACAAGTTAGCTTTTGGGGATGAGTTCTACCCAAGGGTTATAACAGATGCATCAAAGGAAACGAAATAAAATAGTAAAGAAACTAACAACCACTTCCAGGAAATGGTATGTAGCCAAATTAACTAATATGGACTACATAGATAGTGACACAGCGAGTTAGGAAGTCTAACTCGTATGAAATATAGGATTCAAAGGTCCAAATCTACTTAAATAAATCTCACAAGTGGAAAAAGATGTTTGGTTGGGAGATTCGTACCCGATTCGAATCATGGTTCGTAGTTTAATACAGTATTTTCTCTCATAAAAAATACACGTAAATCGAAAATGATTATAATCTCATGATTCTAAATTATGAACCAAACGTAAATTATAGAGAACACTGAACTTTATATTTAATGGATCAATAATCAAGTCTAACTATAATAATAATAATAATAATAATAATAATAAGTGGTGTGTTATTTATAACTCATGTATAAAAAGATAATAAAATGACTACTAAAACGACTAATATGATTAAAAATAAAGAGTTGTTTAGTTGGGGGATTCGTACCCCAATTTGAATCATAGTTCGTGGTTCACTACAGTATTTTTTTTCATAAAAAATACACGTAAATAAAAAATAATTTTAATCTCATGATTCTAATTCATAAACTAAACGTCTTAATATGTTTATTCGGGCTTTTTTAACATGTCGGTTTGACCCGTTTAAATTGCCACTTGTAGTTTCAATGCGTTGTGATTGGGAAATTATTTTGAGAATACTAAAGCGTAAACGATTTCTCTTTCACCCGCACACCATACATTTTTGCCACTCTTTTGGCCGTCATTATACACGCACGGTACCTCTTCTATAGAGTATCGCCCGCTCTTTTCTTTCTACTTTCACATTAGTAATTATTAATTAAAATCGCAGCAAACTTGGACCCTAGCAAATGCAAAGACGGTCCAAATTCCATCCAAGTTCAATGCACCAAGGAACCCAATTTTGCTTTGCCTTTTACATGATGCCAGACTAGTTCCACGCGCTTAGACTTCACGTCTTCCCTTTCTCTTACATTCTACAACAAGTTTTTGAATGTAAAATTTCCAGAATTTTGTTAATTCTCCATAAAGAGAATAGGTTTAATTTCATTTCAATATGGAACAAAAATTGTCATTTTCCTGAACAGTTATACATATATACAAGCAATTAAAGGAAACGGGCGGGAGAAGAAGAAGACAAGTCGACATGCACAGGGCAAGTGGTGCATGCCAAAGAGATTAGGGACTTGAGGCCATGAAAGTCTCCAATCTGAACCTTCGGCTCCTTCAACACCGCTATGTTCGCAACTCCAAACGACGTCGTCGCCATTAATTATCCCCACACAGGGCTTGCAATTCAGGTGAGAAATAAAAATCCTAAAATTTCCAGAATTTTGTTATTCTCCATAAAGAGAATAGATTTAATTTAATTCCATTATAGAACAAAAATTGTCATTTTCCTGAACAGTTTCTTTCTCAAATTATAAATATAAATATATACAAGCAATTAAGGGAGTGTTTGGTATGCGAGAATCAGTAGCAATCATATTTCTAAGAAAGTGATGGAGGGTAATATGATTCATAAGAATAATATATTACTGTGTTTGGTTTCATACATGAATATTTTTCAAATTCTCAAAAATATTACATTACTGTGTTTAGTTGTTCGCATGTAAGAAGATCCATAATAATAATATTAATAAAAAAATATTATTATTATTATTAATAAAAATAATAAAAAATAATAATAATACTATTAATAATAAGATTCTCATAATTTTAAAATTGTTAAGAATTTGAATAATACTATGTTGAGTGGTATCAGATTATTTTAAAATGAGAGAATATAAATCTCATAATAATCACTTTTTTTAGAATATAAATATTATAATTCTTATATTAAATATAATAATATTATAAATTTTTATTCTCATCCTTAAAAGTACTAAACGCCGGTAATGTGTACATACGGTGCGTGGGAATCCTTCCATTTTCCCTTTTAATTAAACCAAAACGCGCCTGTGTCAGGCACGTGACAACAAATATTCCAGATATTTATAAGGAAGCCAGCTTTTTTAAGTTTCCGTTTTTTTTTTCGATGATTTTTTTTCCTCTCTCTTCATCACCATCAGCGACCATCCATCGTCGTCATCATCATCATCATCATCATCATCATCATCATCATCATCATCCATTACGCCACTTTCTGCTTCACTCACTCAGCTCCTTGACCTTTCAATCCTATTTGTTTAGGGTTTTTATTTCTCGCCTGAATTCCAAGCTCTGTGTGGGGATAATCAATGGCGACGATGTCGTTCGGAGCTGCGAACACGGCGGTGTTGAAGGAGCCGAAGATTCAGATTGGAGGCTTTCATGGCCTCAAGTCCGCGAACTCTTTGGCACTCACCACTCGCCCTGTGCATGTCTTCTGGTCTTCTTCTTCTCCCGCTCGTTCGCTCGTTAGAGCCGTTTCTACGGTGCGTTTCTTTTTTCTTGTTTCCTGTTTGTTTTCCGTTTCGCAATCCAGAGCTTTTTGATCTCCGTGTTGTGGTTTTGTGTTTGGGTTCATTTGTTGCTCTGTTTGGATTCTGAGATGAAGAAATTTTTAAGGAAGGTTACGAAATTTGTTTTCGTCTATCTCGTCTTTCTGATGTTTATTTTGTATAAAAGCTTCGGAAATGACACCGTGTTTAATAAAAATATGAACTTTAATTGTTTCTCATTTCTTTCGTTTCTGTTTGGATGTTGAAAAATGTAGATTTATTCGATTACTAGTGTTGTTCGCTGAATCTGGTTTATAAATGTATGCAAAGGTAGAGAAATGGTGGTTTATTTAAGCTATTTTTGGAATCCAAAAAGAGTTAAAAAGTACAAAAAAGCTGTTAAAGTGTCCCTCTGTTATCAGACTTGATGAAGCTTACTTCTTTTGTGTTGTTGAAATTTGAAGATTTCTCGTCTTGATTTTGTTTAACTGGATCTCTTGTCCCTGATTTGCCCTGATTTTATTTATTTATTTTTTATTTTTTGCGTTCTCTCTATATAGCCGGCGAAACCGGAGACTGTTGCAGAGCGAAAGCGTAGTAAGGTTGAAATATTCAAAGAACAAAGTAATTTCATAAGATATCCTCTTGACGAGGAGATATTAACAGATGCCCCTAACATAAACGAGGCTGCTACACAATTGATCAAGTTCCATGGGAGTTATCAACAGTATAATAGAGATGACCGTGGTCCAAAATCCTACTCATTTATGCTTCGCACGAAAAATCCTTGTGGGAAAGTGTCAAACCAACTTTACTTGACGATGAATGATCTCGCCGATCAGTTTGGTATTGGGACGCTTAGGTTAACAACCAGACAGACATTTCAGCTACATGGTGTTCTGAAGAAGGACCTCAAAATGGTAATGAGTACCATCATTAAAAACATGGGTTCGACTCTTGGTGCCTGCGGTGATCTCAACAGGAATGTGCTTGCTCCTGCTGCTCCACTTGTGAGAAAAGATTATCTCTTTGCACAGCAAACTGCGGAGAACATTGCAGCATTGTTGACTCCTCAGTCTGGTTTCTACTACGACGTGTGGTTGGATGGAGAACAGGTCATGACGGCTGAACCTCCTGAAGTTACGAAGGCTCGTAACGATAATTCGCACGGGACCAATTTCCCTGATTTGCCTGAGCCCATTTATGGAACACAGTTCTTGCCCAGGAAATTCAAAATTGCAGTTACTGTGCCAACAGACAACTCGGTGGATCTTCTGACGAATGACATTGGTGTTGTTGTTGTGACTGATGATGATGGGGAGCCTCAAGGATACAATATATATGTAAGATGAACTTTGTTTGTTTGTTAATTGTTTTTCATTTCTTTGGCATACAATGTGAGCCTCATAATTTATTTGCAGGTTGGTGGTGGTATGGGAAGAACACATAGGTTGGAGACCACTTTTCCCCGTCTTGCAGAACCATTGGGTTTTGTGCCCAAAGAGGATATTTTATATGCAGTGAAGGCTATTGTTGTTACACAAAGAGAAAATGGGAGAAGAGATGATCGTAAATACAGCAGAATGAAGTATTTAATCAGCTCTTGGGGGATCAAGAAGTTTAGAAGTGTTGTTGAGCAATATTATGGAAAGAAGTTTGAGCCTACACATGAGTTACCGGAGTGGGAATTCAAAAGCTACTTAGGATGGCATGAACAGGTTTGTTTCATTGATTCCAACATCATATATCTAAGATTTCTTAGTTTAAGACAGTGATACCGAGGACATTGTGATTTTTGGCCCTTTTTCGTATTTGAAAGGATCGATCTTTCACATTTTATGGCTGATCTATTGGAGTTATCTTTCTCACCCCTTCTCCTTTGATGCATTGTTTTCTCACCTTTTGATGATATGTTGGTAGGGTGATGGCCATTTATTTTGTGGACTCCATGTTGATAATGGCCGTATTGGGGGAAAGAAGAAGAAGGCATTAAGGGAGGTCATTGAGAAGTATGGTTTGAGCGTGCGCCTAACACCAAACCAGAACATAATCTTGTGTGATATTCGTAATGCATGGAAGCGTCCCATCACTACAACACTTGCACAGGCTGGTCTATTGGTAATTTTATTGTCAACATGTAATTTCTAGGTGATATGACTTCTGGATTGACGTTGTACTGATCACTTCTGCTTGTACACAGACTCCTAGGTATGTAGATCCTCTCAATGTAACTGCAATGGCATGCCCAGCCTTGCCGCTTTGCCCATTGGCAATAGCTGAAGCAGAGCGAGGAACACCAGACATTCTTAAGCGTGTTCGAGTTGCGTTTGAGAAGGTATTGCTGCAAGGCCGTAATGATTTAATAAAAAATTGAACATAAAAAAAAAATCAGATCAATATAATGGGGCTTGAACTGCTTCTTACTTGTAGACTTTTTTATTTCAGGTTGGTCTGAAGTACAAAGAATCTGTAGTCATAAGGGTAACTGGCTGTCCTAATGGTTGCGCCAGGCCATACATGGCTGAACTTGGTCTAGTTGGGGATGGTCCCAACAGCTATCAGGTATCTTCAGCACTTGCTTAATAACTCCCCCCCCATTCTCTTTATATCTCCTGTTTAAAAAAATAAACTATCATGAAAAGATATTTATCCATACATCGTTTTCTGAAATTAGATTTGGCTTGGAGGAACACCCAATCAAACCTCACTAGCAAGAGCCTTCCTGAACAAGGTTAAGATCCAGGATCTTGAAAAGGTTTTGGAACCACTGTTTTATCACTGGAAACGGAAAAGACAATCTAATGAATCATTCGGCGATTTCACAAACCGCGTGGTGAGTGGCTGCTATTCTCTTATATTTGACATTAAATAGGGAAGTTAACTTTACCTTCCCAAATTTCGCTTAAACCTGTGAAACATATGCCGGTCATCTGTATCGTTGCCAAGCAAAGTGATCTGGATTCTTGTGTTCTGTCAGGGATTTGAGACTCTTCAAGAATTGGTTGACAAATGGGAGGGTCCAGTGGTGGCTGCATCGCGCCATAACCTGAAGCTATTTGCTGACAAGGAGACATACGAAGCCATGGATAAACTAGCAAGACAGCAGAATAAGAGCGCGCATCAGCTAGCCATCGAAGTCGTTCGCAATTTTGTAGCTTCCCAACCAAACGGGAAAGGTGAATGAGCAATTTACAGTCCTAAGAGCTAAGGTGAACGAGGAATAATAGCTCCAATTCTCTCTACAAGCTGTTATCATTCAGTAACAGCTAGAAGGGTTTACGTACTAAATTAGATATCGTTTTGTACCGAGGGTTGCCCCTCATTGTTAATTAGTTATTGTTGACCTGGATTGTAAAATGTTGAGTTTTGGTGTTTGTATCCCTACTCAAGAGTTGTTTTAATCTATTCCGGATCTATCATTTTTGTAATCAGATTTCAGTTTCGGCTGCATTTTGATTTTCGAAATGTCTGCAATTCAGCCGATTATGCAGTTCAAGATATTAGAGCATGGGGTCTCGTGTCTCGCATATGAATTTTTGTAGAGTTGACATACTGTCTTGTGAACTTAAACCAAAGAATGCCATCCACCAGGTGCTGTGGAAGAGCGATCTGGGCTAGTAGTGCGATTGCAGACAAAAATTGCAGAATTTATTTTCTTTTACACCATTGACAGGAAATCAAATCTGATGCAGCGAAGTGAATCTTCTGATACATTGGACCAGCCTCTAAAGTCTACCAATTACGCTGGCATTATGACGTTATGACCAAGGCAAATGTTTTAGCCTTATGACCTAAATATACAGGAATCGGAACATTTCTTTTGTCATAAGAGTTATTGCTCGTTAATTCAAGGTTGATCATCCACATGGAATGGCCTTGTTCCTGTTAAAGATGATGGCAATTTAAGGAAAAGAAAAAAAGAAAAACCTGATAAAATTAAAAGGGACGCCTTGGAATTAAAGGAGAAAGAAGAGGAAGAAGCAACCAGAAGAACTGGATTTTGTCCAAATAGAGACATAAGAACAATACAAGTTTTACAATTATACAACAGCAACCAACAACATTAACTGGATCAAGAAAAAACCACTAGAACTCCCTCACTTGCGGCAGATGCGAGCTGTTGGCATTGTGACACAAACAACAGCGTACTTCTTCTTGGCCCCTTCGGTTCCGCGCTTTGGCTCTTCGTCTGCCATGGCGATCTTGGCAACCGAGCAGGCCGCTGCTGCCGCAACGGCGAGCATCAAGTCTCTCCTTCCACTGCTGTTCTCTTCCTTGCTCTTCCTCATTTGCAAGTTCACCTTCTCTGCCTCTGATCCTGCTGAGGCCTTGGCCACAATGAGACCGCGGCGGCTTGCGGTGGGCTTGGCAATGGTCATGGCTGAGCCGTTGGGGAATGAGGAGGCGGTCATAACCATGGAAGCCATATCTGCAGCTGGGTTGTTTCTTGTCTTACCGTGTTATCTTTTTGGTTCTCAATTGTTGCACGCACTTGTGAGAGGAGTCAATTCTCGGTTCCAAGTATAAAAGTGTAGAATAAATGAAAATGTGCTTCTCAAAACAACACAATCCATTTCCTTATCGCTTTAGACGTTCTGCCTAATGGGTTACTGCCACGTGTTGCATTATCTGAATCATAAAGTCTTGGCTCCGCAAACCTCTTTAAAATGGATGGTCTTTTGGATTATAGATTTTGTGAAACTCTCTGGACTTTCAATCTCAGCCTCAAAAGATTTGCACCTTACAAGTCCGACTTTAGTGTAGTCTAGAATTCATTTAAATTTGTGGTAGCATTGGTTGGGCTCAGAAGCGAATAACCCTTTAACAAAATTTGATTTCCTTTATATTTCATTAGCTAAAGCTAAAGCAATTCAAGTTAAATTAAAATGTTAACTTTAGCTTAACAAATAAAACTAGCTAGTACTACTAGAACCCTTCAGGGGGAAAAAAAAAAAAATCTAAGTAGGTTTCAAAACTCATAAGTAACACAATGTTATTAATTAGATTTTTAAAAGTATGGATTCTTTTAGCATAAATAAAACTTTAAGAGTTAATATCATATATAAACAATATGTACAAAAACTAGATAGTACATTAGAATGTACCAACAACACATAGAACGAAAATTTTGAAGGCAAGAAACGCAGAAATCTACTCATAAAATGCCACGCCATTGTGCTTTAACTAACATGGGCTTACCGACCCTCACCAAATTCAATCATGTGAAATCAAACCCATCTGTACTAACTGAACAGACTTGAGCTCATTTCCACAAAAATCTACAATGCTTCCTCATAAATATTTTCCAAAAACATGCCAGCTTTCAAAAATTCGCAGATTAGGCACAGAAATCATAAGATAAACATCGCTCAAAGTCGTTAACAATTGGTCATCAGGACCAAAAAGAGATTAAATAAATTATAAATGTCACAAAGCACATAATTTATAGTCTTAAAGCTTTAACAATCAAATTCGTACTTTGAACTCTAGTTGCTAAAGCTTAATGAATCATGTCGCGAAGGAACTCAAGACCTTTCCTATCTTAAGCTTCTATTTGCTCAGCGGTATCTTCAATGACAAGGGTCTTTGTTGGCTTCCCCGAAGCTAACAGATCTGTGTACTCTTGAAAAGGTGATTTTGAGAAGCGAGTTTCTTTCCAGAAATCAGGTGTCAAGAAACCATATGTTTTAAGGAGACAATCAAAAGTGGCCTGCATTCACATAATTGAACGTGCAAAAAACAATTAGGGATCGCCGGCCCATTATAAACTTCATCTAACAAATTCAGTTATTCCGTGAAAAAACACCATGAGAAACAAAGGCCAAAAACACATGTCCCAAGTTCAAAACCAGAACCACCATTCAAGACTATAGCTCAAAACGAAGTAATCCATGTTCATTTATCGGAAAGTAAACAACAAAAATAACAAGTAGTGATGCACATATTTTTCATTTCAATAAGCTCAAAACCAATAATATCCATAAGAACTTGTATACCCAATGAAGAACATTGTTTCTGAGTGAACAACTAACTAAATAACTGGACTGAACATTACTAAATAACCAAACTCTAGCACAATTTCAACAACCTTTACAATGATCTTCCACTTAGAGCCGGGCTTCTCAATGCCCACAAGAAGAAACAAGTTTGTAAGTTCAGGAGAGAAAAGTAATAACCTTTTATATCATTTTCTACTTCACACCATTAAAGCAGAAACTTTTATTCAGCAAAAGGAACAAAGGCAAATCCTTTACAATTACAGTAAAAGCTATAAAATAGGAACTATTATAGTAAAAGAAAAACCCAAATCAAATGACAAATGGGCGTAAAATAAAGGACAATTACAATTCGGTTTAAGGTTCAACTTTGGATAAATTCAGAATCCAATCATATGAAAATAATTATAAAAAAAAAAAAAAAAAAAAAAACGAACCTTGACGAAATTGCCGAGAGTCTTGGTGGAGCCACGAGAGGAAGTGAAGACATCCTCAATTCCAGCGAACTGGAGCACCTTCTTGGGGACCCGAGCAACCACAATCCCGGCGCCACGTGGCGCCGGCACCATCCCGACGGTGACGGAGCCTCACTTTCCGGTGACCTTACACGGCACGGTGTGTGGCTTCCCGATCTTGTTCCCTCAGTATCCTCTCCTTACGGGGATAACCGATAGCTTCGCCAATATGATGGCCCCACGTATGGCGGTGGCCACCTCCTTGCTGCACTTGACGCCGAGGCCGACGTGGCCGTTGCCGTCGCCGACGACGAAGGCCTTGAACCGGGTCCTCTGGCCGGCACGTGTCTGCTTCTGGACGGGCGTGATCTTCATCAGCTCATCCTTGAGGCTGGGTCCCACAAGGGTGTCCACGATCTGGTGCTCCTTGATGGGTAGGGATGGAGGTAGATCTGCTCCGGGCTCCGGATCTTTCCCTCCCTCACCAGGCGGCCTAGCTTCGTCACTGGGACCCATTTCTCCTCCTCTTCGCGGCGGCCGGCTCTCCCGCGACCTCGACCGCGGTCTCCGCTGCGACCGGCGCCACCGAAGCCGCGACGGAAGCCGCCTCTATCCCCGCCTCTATCCGCCATTGACTGGTTTTAGGAGAGGTTTGGTTCGTGAATTAAAATCACGTTATTAAAATTATTTTTAATTTATATGTATTTTTTATAAGAAAAAATAACGTAACAAACTGTATAAACTGTGATTAAATCCTCTAACTAAACGACCTTTAGTTCTGTTGCGGGGATGAAGAGAAGAACGGAAAGGCTTTTACGGATAAGTGTAGAATGTAGAGGAGAGTAAAAAGAGTAGCGATAAAATAGTTCGGGAAAATAACGTAAATGGCTGTTTTTTACTTACTCTTTTTCAATAAATGGCAGAATTTTTTATTTTTAAAGAAATGGTTGAACTTTTATTATTTTAACAAAAAAGTCATTTTTTTAATAGTCTTCGTTGATCGATTTATTATTAATAAAAAATAGAATTTGTTAATTAAAATTAATTAACTATTACTTGATTTTAGTTAATTATTAATTAATAATAAAAAATTATTAAATTAATTAATAATAAACTTAAATCAATTAATAATTGACCACTTAATTAATAAAAAAATGACCGTTTATTTTTTAAAAAATTCTGAAAAAAATAAGTCCTACCAATACAAAAGTCAGTGTGTGTCTTAATATTTTTTTAAATATAATAATAACTTTACAAAATACATATGTTTTTGGCTAAGATATATATATGTGTGTGTGTTAAATTTTTTATTTTTATACTTTCTCAAAATTATTGTTGCACAACAAAAGAGTAGTCTTTACTTCTTAATTTTAAAGGAAATAGAAATAAATATCATTTTAAATATATGAGTCTTAATTTTTACTTTTTAAAATAATATTAATTAAGAATAAAAAATAAAAATCAAGACTCATATACTTATGACGATAAGTTCAGTAAATTTATTAAACTAATGTCGTTTGAACTTTAAAAATTGTGGACAATTGACAAGTCGTTTATAAAGAAGCCAATGAATGTCAAAAATAACCAATTAAGAATTTGTTGCTGCCCAGGATCGAACTGGGGACCTTTAGTGTGTAAGACTAACGTGATAACCACTACACCACAGCAACCTTGTGTATTCGATCCAAATTAAATTCTATTTTTGTGTTGAGTTCAGCGGTTAAACTTAAGTAATTAAAGTTTGATCTCTGCTGCACGAACATGAGACTAAAACCAGAGCCCAAAAAAAAACAGTGAAGTAGAAACGACGGAGATAAGCTATAAAACGACAACAATCATAAACGACAATGAAGCTAAACAAGTACAAGACGCCATATAACAAGAAACGAGAGAAAAAATAAATAAATAAATAAACCCACATAATACCTTGCAGCAACAACCTGAAAAAGGACAAATAATTTTACAACTACAACAAAAGTTAAACTAGAAAAAAAGCAGCTAAAAAACGACAATAATACAATTATACAACATAACCTAAAAGTGGCAGCATCTAAAAACGGCATTCTAGGTTACTACAACCACAGTATAAACGACAACAACGAAAAAGAACAAAGCTCCAAACCTGTAGCGCCGACATAGACTTGTAGGTTTTCTTTGTACACTTTTCCTAAATGGAAAAAACTTCAAAAAGAACTTGCTTAGATTGACTAATAAACAAACAAAAAAAATATAGTCTTCAAAATATTAATTTTGTATAAATCTAGAAGTGCTTCATTCTCCTCTGGTTCTGCTTGAAATTGTTTTGATTTCAATTTAGAAGAGCCTCATTATATGTCGTTGATATACAGCCAATCTAACCATAATTTCATAAGGCACATTCATAATAAGGAACAAAAATTGGAGAACGATGGATTAGCAAAAATAATAATAAAAAAAAAGAAGAAATACAGAGAGAACCACGAAACAGAAATCACCAGATATCACGTTTTATTTTACAATTGAAAAATAAAAGGCATCACAACGAACTAAGAAAAAAGATTCTCAAAGATAGCAAATATGTCAATTAAAACATTTGCCTTGTTTGAATTTGTTTTTGTTTTTTTTTTCACGTTTTTTGAAAAAAAAAAAAACGATTTTAAAATAGCCTTTGGCACAATTAAAGACAACAAACGGAAATGAAAACAATTTTTTAGTTTAGTGTAAAATGCGAGAGAAATGAAAAATAACTAAAAGTCATTTTTCATTTTTTATTTTTGTGATAGAGACATTAATGAGTTTTTTTTATACTGAAAATGATCTCTTGATAAAACTACCAAGCGCATTTTCAAAAATAATTTATGTCTGAGATTGAAAAACTTTTTCATTTCTATTTTCATACAAAAAATAAAATTAGTTTAAAACGAATTCTAAAGACATCCATTACATCGCGACCAAAAGTCATGCCATCTATTTCAGTAATTTGTCTTGACACGCGAAAAGTAAATTGAAATAAACTTATGGAAAACATGTTCACTACAGTTAACAAAGCTCTCTGCTGCTCAATTGTTCTTTCATTAAT